CAGGGGGGTTGGAACTGTATTCACCAGGAGGGGGTGAGAGGAAGGGGGGGAATGGGTAATTTCTCCTTGTTTTAGATTCAAGGGGTTTGGATCTATATTCACCAGGGAATTGGTGACAGGTTTCTCAAGGCTTCCCAGGGAAGGGAATCCATTTGGGAATGGTGGCAGCGGAACCAGATCTAAGCTGGTAGTTAAGCTTAGAAGTCTTCATGCAGGCCCCCACATTTGTACCCTAAAGTTCAAAGTGGGGAAGCAGCCTTGACAGGGTCTCACTTCAGGTCCTGGTACAATAGCTATCTACATCACCACAAGGATTGTCACTAATTATCTCCCTTAAATGGTGTACAGGATATAAGTCAGGGAATCCTGCTTACCCACACTCACAATACAAGAACAAGGGGACGTTCAGTGCAACTGAAAGACAATTAGTGTAAAGCTGAGAAAAGGAAATACTTTTTTTTTAAATACTCAATTCATTATTAACCCGTGGAACTCATTGCCACATGGTATTACTGAGTTTCATAGATGCATAAAGTTGAAGGCCAGAAAGGACCGTAAGTTCATCACATCTAGCCTCCTGTATATCACAGCACAGGCACCAACTTTCTCATTCCCCTGGGAGTGTTCCACCCCTGCTTCGGCCCCAGGCCCTGCCCCCCATTCCACCCCTTCCTCCAAGGCCCTGCCCCACCCCACCTCTTTCTGCCCTTCTTCCATGCCCTCCCCCCTCCCCCCCCAGCGCATCTTGCCACTGCTGAACAGCTGATCCCCGCTGGGTAGGAGGCACAGGGAGGAGGTGATCTGCAGGGCCTGCTAGTGGGTGGGAGGCACCAGGCAGGGAGAGGGGGAAGCTGATCTGTGGGGCTGCCGGTGGGTGCTGAGCACCCACTATTTTTTTCCGTGGGTGCTCCAGCTCCAGAGCACCCACAGGGTCAGTGCCTATGTATCACAGCTCCTTAAATCTCACCCAGGTATTCCTGTGTTCAGCCCAATAACTTGTATTTGACTAAATCCTAACGTGTGTTGACTAAAGCACTTTCTAGAAAGCCAGTCAGTCTAGATTTGAAGATGTCAACAGACAGTAACGCCTGAAGCTCCCTAGAAGTGGGGGGGGGGAAGGTGCCCAAACCACCAGTGACCCCACCCCTGCTCTGCCTCTTCCCCCAAGACCCTGCTCCCTCCTCTCCCCGCCCCTCCCTCCATCACTCGCCTTTAAGGCAGGTGGAAAGGGAGAGAGCAGAGCTCTCCCACTTTTAAAAGTGATGAGGCCATGACCCCCCTGTTGTGGCGCCCCTGTGAAGAGATGGAGAATCCACCACTTCCCTTGGCAGTTTCTTCCAATGGTTAATCCACCCACACTGTTAACAATGTCTGTCTGATTTCCCGTTTGAATTTCTCTGGCTTCTGCTTCCAGCAATTGGTCCTTGTTGTGCCTTTGTTTGCTAAATTGAGGAGCCCTTTAGTACCCAGTATATTCTCCCATGAAGGTATTTATACCCCACACTCAAGTGCCAGGGTTCTCTCAGTGCAAGGCATTTTTACCAGCCCTCAGATCAGTTTTGTGGGTCTTCTCTGCACCGTCTCCACTTTTTCACCGTCCATTTTAAAATGGGGACAGCAGAACTGGGTACAGTTTTCCCATATCGGTCTCACCAAAATGAAGGGGAAGCTTGTAGTGTCACAGCTGGGATTGGACCTATTCCTGGGGCAAGAGAGACTTTAATCCTCCAGGGTCTGCTGAGCTACAACCATTCACTAGAATAAAACACATGTTAGTAAAACACAAACATAACCGAACTCCACAACGAGTAACACTGGGTTGTTCTTCAGATGCGAGAGGAAGAAGTTTCAGAACCCAGTGGCCTTTTCTTCTGAACTGAAATGGAGAATCTGGGAATCTGCTCAAATAAATGCATCTGTGGAGACCATAATGAAGAAATTCAAAGGTAATAAACAGTCACCTGGGGAATTTTCTCACATATATTACACTGATAATTGACAGAGCTGAGGAAATCTCCTAGGGAAAATAATTGTGGATAGAGAAAATCAACTAATCATTTGGAACCTATGAATTCCCTACTCAGCTCTCAATACAGCACATACACACTGGGTTAGGGTCCTAAATTCGGACTCCCTGGGAGTTTTCCTTAGCAGCTATGAACATTAACCTGAGCTTGAGATTCCAGCTGAATTAACTGTTTTTGAAATATGTTTGTTTGGATTTTTTGTCTGCAAGTCCTTCTGTGTCATCATAGTCCCTCTCTTGCTTTACAGCAGGGGTGGGGAACCTTTTTTCTATCATGGGCCATTGACCCACAGAAAAAAATCAATCGCGGGCCACTCACCTGAGGGGGGACAGAGAGGGAGTGTGGAGGCTCGGGGCTCCCCCCCACAGCAGGTTGAGCCAGCGCTCATGGCTCCAGCCCCACAGGGGGTGCGGAGGAAGTAGCGCTGGAACAATTTTTACAGTGGGGGTGCTGAAATCCAGTGGTCTCCCAAACTTCTTACCTGGCACCCCCCTTACCCCTATCTGTGCCCCCTCTCCCGAGAGCTGGTGCCAAGACTGGGCTGTGGCTCCAGAGGGGGTGGGGGGCGGGACGCAGATAGGGGTAATGGGGCTGAGGCTGGGACCAGAGCCCCGGATGGGGGTTCGGCAGCCATCCGGGACCCTGGGTGTGGGCCCAGCGGCTGGGACCCTGCGCAAAATCTGGGGGGTGCTGCAGCACCCTCTGCACACCTAGTTTCTGCGGCTCTGTGCAGAGCTCGGGGCTTCCACCCCGTGTCGGGGCCAGTTGGCACTTGCGGCTCCAACCCCGCAGTGGGAGGGGGGTGTTGGTGCTGCAGGCCGATGAAATTTAGCAACAGGCCAGATCTGGACTGTGGGCCGTAGGTTCCCCACCCCTGCTTTAGAGATACTCCACCTTTTATCCTCCTGAGCTGGAGATAATGAGACCACCAGGGCTGTCAGGAAGGATGAGCCAGTTTTACTGAGTACTAGTGGTACAGGGGCAGATTTAAAGTTGATTGAATGCTAATCGGTGAAAAAGTGTCTGTGTATTGGTCTGTCTGTGAATTATGTGTTGGTTTCAGAGGGTTTGTCTACACAGCAGTTAAACACCTGTGGCTGGCCCGTGTCCACTGACAGGTGTTTAATTGCAGGGTAAAACATCTCTGGATCTGTCATGTAACCTTAGGTCATGTCCTTAGTTTTTAATGTTTGTGGTTATTTTTTAGTGAGGTGTGTAATGGTTTGTACTGGTGTGAATTGCACTTAACCTCCTTAACTAGAACTTCATAAAGTTTTTCTTTTCATTTTGCTTTTGTGTTAGAACATTAACAATGTGAATATATCCCTAACCATGACAACATAACATTTGGTCTTTTTCACCCTTTTCTTCCTCTAGACTCACTGTCGTCGAGACAGCGGGTGGAGAAAGGTAAATTTCTGGGATCAAAGGGGGAGTGAAATCTTTCATATGAATCATGGTGGCTCATTGGCAACCCCATAGTTCAGGTTTTGTTTCAGTTTTGCATTTGACAGGAGCTGAATGTCGTATTACTGGTGGCTACACAGATCTTTCCTAAAAACAGAAAAGTAGTTTCTTTTCTCTATTATAATTTAGAATTTTTAAATAGTGGTTGTGTTACCAGATGGGCTGGGGTGGGGGAGACGGGGCGAGCCATGTATCTCCGTAGAGATGTAAGAGTTTAAAAATGAGCCTTTTGGAAAAGCAGAGAGGAACAGCTCACCTCTATTTCAGAACTCTTTAGGCACATACATCACATCCCCTGGCAATATTATTATTGCCCAAGATCCCTAAGTGGCCCCCTCAAGGATTGAACTCACAACCCTGGGTTTAGCAGGCCAATGCTCAAACCACAGAGCTCTTATTAGCAAATGTACAAGTGGTACAATGAAGAATGGGAGAATTCAACATAGAAAAATAGACATTTCTGTTTTCTCTCTCTACTTTATAAGTCAAAAGAAAAAAATGTCAGAAGGGGTTAGGTAGACATCACCTATTAGCAGACATGACAACTCTCACAAACTGATCATGAGAGATGTGATTTCTGAGTAAAATTAAGTCTCACTCGTGATCTCACGATAGACCTGTGGCTGAAAAATAATCCTGACATTTGAGAGTTCTATGAGTGAGGCTTCATTTTACTTAGAAATCGTGTCCGCTGCCTTGGGTGCAGCTGGGGCTCCCGCTGTCAGTCACCCTAGTGCGGCTGCTCCCCTGGGAAGTGGGAGAGGGGACCCCACTGTAGCCCCCAGGCCTAGGGAGGGTGAAGAACCCTAGGAGGAGCAGAGGTGAGGCTGGGAGGCTTTATTATGGCCTGGGGGCTGCAGGGGGCCTGAAGTGAGCAGGGGCTAATGGGCTGGGGGGGGGGCTGTATTGCTGGTGGGTTCTGAGCAGATAAGGTGACTGCTGGCAGGGTGAACTGAGGGCGGTGGGGTAGGGGTGCTGAACTGATGGGGCAGTGATGATGGGGGATGGGGGACTGAATTGAGGGGGGTTGGATGGGGACAGAACTGATGGGGGCTGGGGGACAGGATTAATTGCTGGGCAGGAGATGGGCAGATGTGGGGGTGAGAGCTCCTGGAACAGGAGCCAAAATCCCCTTCTCCAGTGCATGTGGGAGAGTGGGCGACACTAATTGTCACATGCGCACACCCTGGGGAGGGGTCAGGGGAGTTCAAACATCAAGAGACTGATCTAAAAACCACAATAGAATCCTTTTTAAAATGTCATGATTTTTGGGCCAATCTCATGAGATTTGATCTCTTGAAGTCGGCAATACTGTATTAGCCATTGCATAGCCCTGGGGCCAGCAGTGTGGAGACTGGAAAGTCCCCTGGATAGAGCAGCACAAGCCGAGCAGCCGTTCAGTAAGTGTGCGGTGTCCTCACCCCCCCCCCCACAGCTACACACAGTCCTGGGGGGCCAGTGGGGTCTCTGTAAAAGCAGGTTTTCTAGTGCTCAGCTGGCTGCTCGTTAGGAGGGGGGCTCTGCAAGGAGACGGGGCTGTGCAGAGTCGCATCATTGCACAGGGGGGGACGTTGGATTCCCTATAATCTGCTGGGAGCCTCCTATGATGCCAGGGTCTCTAATCACATCTGTGGAGAGAGGTGGGTGCAGGTGGGGAAAGGTTACATGGGCCTGATTGTCAGCGCTTTTATGCTGCTCTGTCAGAGCAAAGGGGCCTTAATGTGCCTGGAAACAGACCCCAGAAAATAGCTCCTGTGCAAGGGAGCCACCCCCCATCTGTGTGAAGTTGGCAGAGGGGCTCTACAGCAACTCTGCCCCCAGCCGTTATAGTAGGATTGGGTTGGGGCATGCTGGGGGCCAGGGCCGTCCCTAGGGAATTGTGGGATCTGGTGCGGAAGTGACGGATTCATCTCTTCCAGGACCAATCGCGCCAGGAAATCACACCGGCCCATGGGGCCCAGAGCAGGGGGAGGGGGCCGGGGCGGAAGTGACAGATTCACTTCTTCTGGGACTGACCATGCCAGCCAATCGCACCTACCTGCATGGCCCCCCAAAGCGTGAAGCGTGGAACGGTTGCCCCGATTCGTCCTAGCCAAGGGACGGCTCTGCTGGGGGCATAGACAGGATGCATCACACTCTGGCTGCTCTCTGCTTTGCAGCCCTGAGGCCCCTGTAACGAGGGGCCAGGGAGACTAAAGGAAGGACAAAGGTGGCTTAAACCCACCTCCCTCTAACCCCCCTTGTCTTTCCCCCAAGCACAAGGATGGAATCACTGAGACTCAGATGCTGGGTCTGGGGGCCTGGCTCAGCGGAGCTGATCCTTTCACTCGGTCCCTGAACTGGCTCTGTTGGGGTGTGAATCCCCCCTGCCCATGGCTGAGATCTCAGCGCTGCTCCCCAGGCAGAGCTGGGTAAATCCTGGAGGCAGGAGGTTGCCTGAGTCACTCCCCAGCTGGGGCAGGTTCTGTCACTGACATGATCAGACCCTGCCCCAGGGCTGAGCTCTGCCCCTCACGCTCTGATTCTCTCTCTGCAGTGAATGTGACTCTGGATCCAGACACGGCCCATCCACGACTCGTCCTGTCTGCGGATCGGAGAAGTGTGAGAAGGGGAGACACACGGCAGGCTCTGCCCGACAACCCGAAGAGATTTGACACTATGCGCTGTGTGCTGGGCTGTGAGGGATTCACCTCGGGCCGACATTACTGGGAGATAGAGATAAAAGAAGGGGGAGTTTGTGTTGTGGGGGTGGCCAGAGAGTCTGTGAGCAGGAAGGGAGGGATCAGCTTTAACCCTGAGCAGGGGATCTGGGCTGTGCGATGCTGGGGGGATCAGTACTGGGCTCTCACATCCCCTGAGCAGATCATCCCCTTGTCCCTGAGCCGGGGACCCCACAGGATCCGGGTGTACCTGGACTATGAACGGGGGCAGGTGGCGTTTTTCGATGCTGGTCATGGGGACCCGATCTTCTCTTTCCCGCCGGCTTCTTTCGCCAGGGAGAGAATCCGCCCGTTCTTCTGGGCTGCTCTTAATGTGCAGCTCACACTGTGTCCGTGAGGTGCCCTGTCTGTGCCCACAAAACAGGCTCCTCTAGCCCCCACCCCCCTGACCTCTTTGACCTGGAGGATTGAGCCAGTCAGTCTGTCCCCCTAACCCCCACAGGCAGGGCTGGGGGGGGGGTGACGCTCTACCCGTAGCTCTATGGCTGTGGAGGTCTGTGTGAGGCGCTCTAGGCTGGGTCTCTCTGCTCCTAGGAGGCCAACGCTGTGTGGAGTGGGGGGGGTCCCACCAAGGAAGGAGGGAGCCCCCCTGTGGGAGGGACCCAGCCGAGGGCCAGGGAGAGACCCCTCAACTGGGGGGAGGGGAGAGCAGCAGGAGGCCTGACTGAAGAGGCTGTGGGGAGAACGGGGGTATTTAAAATCCTGTTAGCTGATTGTTATTTAGTCACAACCAGCTAATATATATTTAAATACAACTGTTAGTGTGTGTACGAGATGCGAAGGCTGGAATTTTCAAAACAACTGAAGTGACGTAAGACTCATTAATTTTCCCGCCCTTCCCCTTAATAGACAGGGTCCTACAAAAGGTGAAGTCAGACGGGGCGAGGATGATCCTCATAGCCCCGGATTGGACCCATCAGCATTGGTACGGGTCCCTGCTGCAACTCTTAGCAGCTCCTCCTTGCAGGCTGCCGATACGCCCGGACTTCCTCTCCCAGAAGGAAGGTCGCCTCCTCCATCCCAACCTAGCCGCGCTCCATCTGACAGCGTGGCTGCTTCGTGGTTAAATGAGGAGGAGGGAAGGTGTTCTGAGGATGTGAGAAGGGTCCTGCTGGAAAGTAGGAAACCCTCCACGCGGCGAACCTACCTGGCTAAGTGGTATAGGTTCTCTATGTGGGCGAGGGATAGAGGTTCCTCTCCCTCTTCTGCACCTATCCAGCTTGTCCTCGATTACCTCCTGTCCCTTTGGACCCAAGGCCTGGCGCCCTCCTCCATCAGGGTGCATCTGGCAGCCATTTTGGCTTTCCATCCCCCGGTGCAGGGCCTGTCTGTGTTTTCACATCACATGACGGCCCAGTTTCTGAAGGGGTTAGATCGGGCATTCCCTTACGCCAGGCCCCCGGTCCCGCTCTGGGATCTAAACCTGGTACTGTCCCGCCTCACAGGGCCTCCTTTTGAGCCGTTGGCCACTTGTTCGTGGTCCCACCTGTCGTGGAAGATGGCGTTCTTAGTGGCTATCACCTCAGCCCGCCGGGTCTCCGAGCTCAGGGCCCTGACCTCTGAACCACCGTATACGGTCTTCCATAAGGACAAGGTTCAGCTCCGCCCTCACCTGGCCTTTTTGCCGAAGGTAGTCTTGGCTTTCCATATGGATCAGGATATTTTCCTCCCAATCCTCTGTCCTAAGCCCCATTCCTCTCATGAGGAACGCCGCTTGCACATGTTAGACGTGCGCAGAGCGCTGGCTTTTTACTTAGACAGAACCAGACCATTTAGGAAGTCCCCCCAGCTTTTTATTGCTTCGGCCGAGCGCATGAGGGGATGACCGGTTTCCACCCAGCGGATCTCTCGCTGGATCACGTCGTGCATTCACACCTGTTACGACCTGGCAGGGGTTCTCCCACCTCCTATAGTGAAGGCTCGTTCGACGAGAACCCAGGCCTCGTCCACGGCCTATGTGGCTCGTGTCCCTATTCAGGACATCTGTAGGGCTGCTACGTGGTCCTCTGTCCACACCTTTTCATCGCACTATGCGATCGTCTCCCAGACAAGGGATGATGCCGGGTTTGGTAGGGCGGTGCTCCGCCCGGGTAACCCCTAAAATTTTTACACTTGAAACTCATACCCGCCTCCATCAGGGATAGCTTGGAGTCACCTATAGTGGAATACACAGGAGCAATCACTCGAAGAAGAAAGGACAGTGACCTGTTCCGTAACTGGCGTTCTTCGAGATGTGTTGCTCAGGTGTATTCCACGTCCCACCCTCCTTCCCCTGTGTCGGAGTTGTATGGCAAGAAGGAACTGAGGGTGGGGGGAGGACGCAGCCCCCTTTATGGCGCTATATGTCGGTGCCACTCCAGGGGTCGCAGCGGTGCTCCCCCACTACGGATACTGCTAAGGGAAAAACTTCTGGTACCGGTGCACGTGGCGAGCACGCACACCTATAGTGGAATACACCTGAACAACACATCTCGAAGAACGCCAGTTACGGAACAGGTAACTGTCCTTTTTCCCCTTGTAGGCGAACTACTTGTGTTCTCCTGTTCACCTTATTAAAGTCCCCCAGTAAATGGACCTGAGAGGGAAATTTGTCTGTTAAACCTTTCTGGAAAGCACTGGTTTGCTGTGTGAGGTGTATTTTGAGACAGAAACAAAAGGTTGGTTTCCATATGAATTTAAAATGAACAGAGCCCTGAAAGCCCAGTCAGTTCCCTTGTGTCCACTGCCCAATATAGGATGTCAAGGCAAAAACAGATGAGAAATGTAGGACTGATGACAAATATATGAGTGATGCTGGATTCCATCATGCACGACATTTCCTGCTAGATCCTCTCTTCCACCCCCGTTATACCGTCAAGTAAATAATGTAACTGTAAGGGTGGGAATTACTCTGGCAATACTAGGAATATGAAATAAAAACAAACAGATCATATGGAAAACCCCCTTGAGATGCATGGAGTTGAAAGTAAAATGTCCAGCATCTGTCACATCAGAGATGTTTTTATGAGGTGCAAACTGTGTATAAAAATTACCATATTTGTTCTTCATGTAACTCATTTTTCTTTTAGAAATCTCCCTGATTTTGCTGTCAGCAATTTATTGTACCTGACTTTCCTCCCAAAGTGGTCTTTCTAAAATGTGGATAAACGCATATTTTGAGGGTGTATGTTCCTATTATTAAATTTGCTGACAGTAGAATTGTTACTGGTGTGACTGTTGCCTGGTATGAATCACCCCTGAGAATGCCCAATTCAGGACAGGGCAGATATACCCCCAAAATCTGATGGTTTATTCTATAATTAGATTCACCAAAACAGTAACAGAATGAGCTCTGATATCCCTACACTGGTTAGCAGGAAGCCAAAGCACAGTCGCCTCTCGGCATTCCAGCTCCTGGCTTGTCCATCCAAACTGATCTTTTGTGATAACTGATTACTAGAACCAGAAATCACATATAAAGTTCTTCCAATACCAAAGCCACTGTCCTCAGGTCAATAGATACTTTAGATCTTACCCAAAAATCACGCTGCAGCCAATCCCCTTAGTAACTAAAGGTTTATTAATAAAAAAGAAAAGACGACAGTTAGTAAATGGTGAAAAGAATCATCTACATTACAATTGATTTAGAGAGACTGTAGATCAGGATCATGGCAGAGATGGTCGTTCTGCTAATTTGCAATGAGTCTTTCTGGATCATCCAAAAGGTTAGATACCAAATGACAGTTTAGCTGTAAAAAGAACAGGAGTCCTTGTGACACCTTAGAGACTAACACATTTATTTGAGCATAAGTTTTCGTGAGCTACAGCCCACTTCATCGGATGCATAGAATGGAACATATAGTAAGGAGCTATATATACATACAGAGAACATGAAAAGGTGGGAGTTGCCCTACCAACTCGAAGAGGCTAATTAATTAAGCTGAGCAATTATCAGCAGGAGGAAAAAAAACTTTTGTAGTGATAATCAAGATGGCCCATTTTAAGACAGTTGACAAGAAGCTGTGAGGATACTTAACATGGGGAAATAGATTCAATTTGTGTAATGACCCAGCCACTCTGTCTCTATTCAAGCCCAAGTTAATGGTATCTAGTTTGCAAATTAATTCCAGTTCAGCAGTTTCTCATTGGAGTCTGTTTTTGAAGCTTTTCTGTTGCAAAATTGCCACCTTTAAGTCTGTTACTGAGTGACCAGAGAGGTTGAAGTGCTCTCCTACTGGTTTTTGAATGTTATGATTCCTGTTGCCAGATTTGTGTCCATTTATTCTTTTGCATAGAGACTGTCCGGTTTGGCCAATGTACATGACAGAGGGGCGTTGCTGGCACATGCTAGCATATATCACATTGGTAGATGTGCAGGTGAATGAGCCCCTGATGGCGTGGCTGATGTGATTAGTGTTATGATGTTGTCACTTGAATAGATATGTGGACAGAGCTGGCATCGGGCTTTGTTGCAAGGGTAGGTTCCTGGGTTAGTGTTTTTTGTTTTGTGGTGTGTGGTTGTTGGTGAGTATTTGCTTCAGGTTGAGGGGCTGTCTGTAAGCAAGGACTGGCCTGTCTCCCAAGATCTGTGAGAGTGAACAATCATCTTTCAGGATAGGTTGTAGATCTTTGATGATGCTGTCAAAGTTCCCTCCCCACTCTGAACTTTAGGGTACAGATGTGGGGACCTGCATGAAAGACTCCCTAAGCTTATTTACCAGCTTAGGTTAAATTTAAGCTGCCACCACCAAGTGTGTTCCAAATCTTAGGGGAGAGCCACTTGGAACTCTGCCTTTCCCCAAATATTTCCCAAATCCCTAACCCCCCCCTTTCCTGGGCATGATTGACAGTAATTCTACCCCCCCCCCCCAAGTCCCTATACCCCTTTTCCTGGGTAGACTCAAGAGAATTCCCTCACCAACTAGTCCTGGTGAGCACAGATCCAAAACCCTTGGATCTTAAAACAATGAAAATCGATCAGGTTCTTAAAAGAAGAATTTTAATTAAAGAAAAAAGGTGTGAGAGATACCTCTGTGAGATTAGCATGCAAGATAATCTCCCAGACCAACAGATTCAAAACACAGAAGGTTTCCCTCTGGGCAAAACTTTATAAAGTTACATAAAGAACCCAATTTTATTCTCTCTCTATTTTGCAAAAGAAATCACAAATAGAAAATAAAAGTAATCTAATACATTCCTTCTCTAAATACTCACTACCCTATAGGAGTGGGATGGTTCCTTCTTTCTCTGTGTCTGGCAAAAGCACACACCCAGCACAGACAAAAGACTGTTTCCCCCTTCCAGCTTTGAAAGTATCTTGTCCCCTTATTGGTCCTTCTGGTCAGGTGTCAGCTAGGTTGTGAACTTCTTAATCCTTTACAGGTAAAAGAGGAATTAACCCTTAACTGTCTGTTTATGACAGATGCGCTGGAGAGATTTTAGTTGCAGGCTGAAGGTGATGGCTAGTGGCATTCTGTTATTTTCTTTGTTGGGCCTGTCCTGTAGTAGGTGACTTCTGGGTATTCTTCTGGCTCTTTCAATCTGTTTTTTCACTTCAGCAGGTGGCTATTGTAGTTTTAAGAATGCTTGATAGAGATCTTGTAGGTGTTTGTCTCTGTCTGAGGGATTAGAGCAAATGCGGTTGTATTTTAGAGCTTGGCTGTAGACAATGAATCGTGTGGTGTGTCCTGGATGGAAGCTGGAGGCATGTAGGTAAGTATAGTGGTCAATAGGTTTCCGGTATTGGGTGGTGTTTATGTGACCATCGCTTATTAGCACAGTAGTTTCCAGGAAATGGACCGCTTGTGTGGATTGGTCCAGGC